AGTGGCATGTGCTGGGGAGAAGGGGCAAGAGAGCTACTAAAGAGGAGGTAAGGGGTAGCAGGAGAAACGGAGAGGCATAGGTACCTGTGTGGGGATTTGGGGAAGATCCCGAAGGAGTCTTCCCTTTGCTCCTAGCTGTGACCTGAATCCATTGATCACACGGCCACCCCTAGGCCTCTTGGTTGCCCTTCCCAATAGCCCCTGTGTGGTCAGTCCCTTTAGCCCGCCCCCCCCACCCCGCCCCCAGTCTCCTCTCTCCCTTTCTCTTGCCCCTCACCTCCCGATTCCAGCTGTGCTCTTCTGTTCCGGGCGTGCAGCATTCCGAGGTTCAAACACCTTGGGTGGTTCTCAGAATCATTTCTTGGTCTCAGTGGATTAATATATCTCTGGACATGGTTCGAGTTTGAATTCTCCCAGTCATTATACCTGGACATGCGGTTTCCTAAGCCTCAGTTTTCCATCTGTGGCATGAAAATAATGCCTCTGTTAACAGGATGTGGCTGTGAGCACTAAAGATGTGTATGTATGTAAAGTGCCTGGCGCTATGTCTCACAAAGTCACCACTCCATCGATGGCAGCCATTGTTGAGAGGAACCCACATATGCATTTATTCCTAGCCTTCTTCCACGACGGATGCAGGGCTTAAGTAACACTGGTATAAAAAGAGAGCTGACATTCAATTAAACTTAAAACTTAGATAGAATATCGATGAAAACATGATCAGAAGCAGGTAGCCAAACCAGCAGACCTACACATCATAACCTTCTTAGCAGGCTACAGGTAAACCTTGAACCTGGCTCTGAACTTCCTGGATGCCAAGATCAAAAGGGAAAGCCAGTCACCCACCTACATTGCGTTGTCTCTTCCCCAGATGAGCCAGCAGTGCTGGAGATGGAGGACCTTGACCGCCTGGCCATTCGGCTGGGGGACGGGCTGGACCCCGACTCTGTGTCTCTAGCCTCTGTCACGGCTCTCACTACCAATGTCTCCAACAAGCGGTGAGTGGACAGAAGCCCACGTCCCCACATGCCTCCACCTCATCAGGCAGGCCCCAGTTTGCCATGCTTAGAAGTTGGATGGGGAAGAAGAGATTCTTTCTAACTCTGCCCCTTGTTTTTGTTGTTGTTGTTGTTGTTATTGTTGTTTAACATCTCACTTCTCTTGCTGCAAAAACAGACTGCAGTAGCTGCAGGCTTGGGCCCAGGTCCTTAAACACCGGGGAGGTTAGGCACACCACACCACACAGAGCTGCCCTACTATATAATCTATCCCCTTCTTACTTCTGTCCCTTGGGTAGTCCTCTCCGTTAGGACCTCTGAGAATACTACATTTGTGTTAATGGCCCCAATGCCCTTCTCCAAGACCTCAACATGATCATTTCCCTTCTATCCCCAACCCCACCTTCCCAAAGTCCCCCTCAATCCCAGGACTGGCATTCCACATTCCATACTTCTCTCCCCCAGGTCTAAACCAGACATCAAGATGGAGCCGAGTGCTGGGAGGCCCATGGATTACCAGGTAGGTGGACACCTGGAGGCTTCATGTCCTTCATCTTCTCTGGTGAGGGTTCTGGTCAGAGGTACAATACAGAACCTGCGGAAGCACAGATCTGGAGGTCAGAGAGAACCACAAGCCGGATGTGTTTCTAAAACAAGCGTGTTCCTGAAAGACATGCCTGGGTCTGTCGTCAGTTAGAAGGTGCACATCCAAGGAGGAGCCCGAGGATGCTGCTTGTGCTGCTCAAAGCCCTCTCAAGACTTTTGTGTCCAGTGCTGGGTTTCATCGAGCCAGACTTAGGGATCTGGGAAAACCGTAAAGAGCCAAGGGACAACCACATAAAGAAACAGTCGAGCTGCCGAAAAGAAGCGTCTCCGGACAGAGTTGGTTTGCATTGTTCTCAGA